AAAATTTGCATTTATTTTGCTAGAGTGATAAATAGAAAGCAGAATTTTAAAATTTGAGATAACAAAGCAAAATTTTCTTAAATTTCCCCTCAAATCTTATGAGAGACATTTCTGACCACTAGTTAACTATAACAACTAACTATATACCCTATGCTCCAAAATCATACCTCTGTTCTAAAACATGGACTAAATAAGATAAACAACAAGTTACATTTTCTCAAAGATATTTTTTGGTTCCAGAAAATCTGAAATTTGGGTAGCCATTCTGGGTGACAGGAACTTAAGTCTAATCTCAGAGTCCAATGGGGGATCCCAATCTATTATCAATTAATTGTGACCTCAAAAGCCAACACCCTCAAGGTGATAGCTGAATCCAGAGTAGGGAAATTCCTCTAGAGAATTAGAGCTCTGTTTGAACCTGGGACAGGATGCTCAGGAAGCCTCATGTAAAAAGCTCAGTGGAAAGTAATCTTGGATTAGTGCCTAAGACTCTGGCAGGAGGTATGCATATCATCAATGGAGACCTCAAATTATTCCCACAAACAAGTTTTCAAATTCAAGGACCAATACCCAGATCTAACTAGGAACACAAGGAAACTAGACTCATGAGGGGAAGCCAGCATAAAAACAGACCATAGAAACTGGCAGACACCAGACACTGGAACTATTATGGTTATGTTTACTGGGTGTAATAAAAATTGTACACAATAACATAAATTGAAAAAGAAATTTTCAGAGGAAATTTCAGAAATCAAAACCACAAGTGATCAAAATATTAAAATCGGCCCTCCCTGGTGGCGCAGCGGGTTAAAGCGCAGCACCGAGAAGCTAAAGCCACTTCTGCATGAGTTTGATTCCTGCCTGCCCCGGAGGTGACCACATGGCGTGGCAGACCTCTCCTGACCCGCCTGCTGCTCCCCTCAGCAGTGTACATCCTCGATCTGCCTGTTCTGCTCCCCACTCTGTCTCTGGTGAAGCCTCTCACCGCCCCTGAGCCTCTGGCCTATACCCCAGTTCTGTATGAACAAATAAATAAAATAAAATAAAATAAAAATCATTGTGTGAATTATTAGTCACAGAAGGAAATTAATGACACCTTGCTAGCTTTGAGTAGTCACACATTTTTCTGTTCCATTTTATTCTATAAGAATTTTGAAATTCTTAGTTTGGTGAGATCCAATAAACTTATTCTACAACCATAAGTTGTCTTTCATTTAGTAAAACTAAATAAACGTACAGTTCATCATTTAATCTAAAGGAAATATAATTATTTTCAAAAAAGTCCTTATAAATACATACCTTTCTGACAAATCCCTTAGGAGCTGACATAGCTAGAATAATATAGATGTAGCTGCTTTCATTAATGCCTCCCTGTGGCTCTTTCACTGAGGGCAGAAAAAAGGCAAAGTCAGTTTTTTTTCTGAAGCAGGTACCTCGTGCTCTATAACATTTTCCAATGAGGAAGTTTTAAGCTAGTGAACTGCTACTTATGAAGAACATTTAGCCAAATTATTATAAATACAGAATAAATACAGTTCACTATACCAACAGTATATTTGCAAAGACTCATTTTTACTGGTTACTAGTTTTCACCAACTGCAATGAGACAAGGAAAATAAAGTCTATAGTTTTTCATAAAGCTGATTTATTTAAGGATTGCTTTTTTTAGAGTATTTTTTTATGTTGGGGAAAAACTGTTATTTTAAAATGAAATGACAGTGCAGGGTGGTTGTTTTTTGTTTGGTAAAATTGAAAAATTAGTTACATTGTTGCCCAAAATTATTTTTAAAATGTAAACAAATACACAAAAGTCAAAAAGCTTGCAAATATCACCAATGTTGTGTACTCTTACTTGCTTAGTCAACAAACATTTTGAAGGCTGTTTGGGCTAAGATATGGGGGACAAATAAGAAAATGACTGTACTGTGTGCCCTCCTGCCCAGAGTGAGGGACAGGTTTACTCAATAGCAACTAGCAAGTTAAATGGTGCTTGGTCCTTTGGGAGCAGTCTGAGGGAAGGTTTGGGGACTCAATCTCTTACTGTAAGGAAAAATTAAGTTGAGATTTCTTGCTGATGCAGGAACAGAAATGGAGACCAGAGAACATTAATGGTTCAGCTCAGAGAATTTGAAATACTTCTAGATGCACTAACCAGGTGTAGGTTAAATTATGTTGAGGATGAAAAGGTATAACCGAGTAGGATCATAAAAGTGGTTTTACAGTCTCAACTAATTTTTTTTTGAAATTTTTGTAAAAATATGTTTATTTTTACAACATTTTGTGCATTCATCGGTCTCAGTTGTAATCCCCTTGGGCTTTCCATCACCAAGTCACGCATGTGCCATCACCATAGTCCAGTGCATTTCCCTCCCCCCAACTGTTTTTGATCTCATTCCCCACTCCACCCCCATAAAATGTCGTTGTTATTATTATTTTCTCTCCCGGACTGTTATATTCCTGTTATGAGTGAAACCATCCGGTATTTTTCCTTTTCTTTCTGGCTTATTTCACTAAGCATGATCTTTTCCAGCTTCATCCATGTTGCTGCAAAAGGCATTTTTTTGGTTGCTGAGTAATATTCCATTGTGTATATGTACCACATACCACATATTTTTAATCCAGTCATCCACTTTTGGGCATTTGGGCTGTTTCCATGTCTTTCCAATTGTAAATAAAGCAGCAATAAACATGGGGATGCAGGTATCTTTTTAAATCAGTGTTTTTGTGTCTTTTGGGTACATACCTAAGAGTGGGATTGCGGGGTCATATGGATGGAAGCTCCATGTTTAGTATCAACTAATTTTTTTTAATGTGGAAAAAAATGCCTAACATAAAATTTACCATCTTAACCATTCTCAGTAGTGTTAGTATATTCACATAGTCATGAAACAAAGATTTTTATTTCATTTTATAAATTGCAACTGAAATTAAAGGAATTACTGAAAGATTTCAGGACAGAATTAGAGATTTAGGATGAGTGTTTGGAGGGTGGGGAAGGGGGTGGAAAGGGTAGAGGCAAGGAAGACTACTAGGGACTGTAAGAACCACAGGCTTGCTGGGGGCACTGGGAGTGGATTTGGTTTTTGGTTGGCCAATTGCTTGTTGTGTGTGTGTGTGTTTTGCCATTGAGGATGTTAGAGCAGGGAATGCAACATACCTATCTGAGTAGCAAGTTGTGTGGGCCAGATTTCCAGGACTGCACACGTAAACTATAGACCGTAGCCAGAGTGAATTTTGCTAAACCCCTACAATTAAAAATAATTTTTTTTGGTTAGTTGCCAACACTTCAAGATTTTGAGATTTCAATTTAAAATGTAGATATCCAATTATTATTTTAAAATGTATCTGGGGTCACTGCCCCTTCAGGGGGGAAAAATCATAAGAGTTGATAATAATACAAAAACTCCGGAACCTTTTGTGGTTCTAAAGAAATGTCTGGGGACCTCCCAGGTGGTGCAAGTGGTTAAATCACTGCACTATGAAACTATCTGCAGCTGCTGCAGATAAGGGGGTTCAATCCCACCAGGTTGCTGACCCACAAGGCAAGGTCCCCTCAGCAGTGCATTTCAGTCAGTCTGCCTGTTCTGCTGCCCACTCAGCCTGTGGTGAATTTTGTTAAAGATTTATTTATTTATGCATACAAGAGCTGGAGTACAGGCCAGAGGTGCTGGGGCAGTGAAAAGACTCACCAGAAAGAGAGAGAGCGGGGAGCAGAAGAGACAGACTGACAAAGTACACTGCTAAGGAGAACAGCAGGCAGGTCAGGAGAGGTCTGCTGCGCCATGTGGGTCACTTCCCTGGTCAGGGATCGAACTTGTGCTGCAGTGGTTGCTGAGAGCTTCACAGTGCTGTGCTTTAATCCCTTTGTGCCACCAGGGACGCCCACCCCAGCTCTTGTATGGTAAACAAACAAAATGAAATAAGAAATAAAGTGACCTCTGGGTATTCACACTGTTTTGTCCCAACTTCTGTGACCAGCAGGCAAGAAAGGAAGGCAGGAGGCAGAAAGGCAGAGCAAGCAGAGTTTAATGCTCCCAGAGAGCAGCTGAGACGGATCCCCTAGAGTGGGGTGGGCAGCTACTGCCAACCCAATAAGGGGGAAGGGTCTCTTGTATAGATTCTAAACTCAGATTCCAAAGGGGTGACTCATCACTGTGTCCTTGATGTGAGGCCCAGTTCCTTATCACCTTCAGCTAGCCCCATCCTGGATGCAAGTTCAGTTTATTACCACTTTTTCAAGCTTGGATGCAAGGCTCAATTCTTTACCTCCCTAATTCAGTCCTTGTCAGTAAACCTTTGGTCACTCCCAACACACACCAGTGTGAGAAATGTCTCATTCAAACCCTTGTTACCCCATCAGCAGTCAGCACAGGAGCCGCCCACATGAACTTGTAAAAAAATAATAAACCACCCTATTTTTCTCCAAAACGTGACACATACAGACAAGTACACACATCCGTGTACAGCCTGACAGATGTTCACACAGCGAACATATGCGACTAACCAGCACTCCTGTCAGCAAGCAGAGCTTTTCTAGCACCCCAAGTTATGAGGCTGACCAATACCAGGGGCCAGCAGCATGGACGGGTCACTGGGTTAACTAGTGCTGGAACTAGCATCTGAACCTGGTTATCTACTGTCTTTTCAAACTCCTTGCTCTTGAGAAGAAGCGGGCTGAAGGGGCGATGGTGAGTTCAGCTTTGCACACTAGCACTGGGCGTCTCCTTCCACACAAACTTACTTCCGGGCATCACAGCCCCGGAAACCACCCAGAAGTCTGCACCTCCGGCCCGCAGGAGTTGCGCCGTCACAGGGCAGCTTCCACGTTGGGCTCGAGAAGGACAGCGCGCCCTCCCAACACGAGAGGGCACTGCAGCAGCCAGAACGTCTGGCCAGCCTCTTTTTCCCTTTATCGCGATATTCTGCGGCGGGAAGAACGTAAGATCGAAGGTCACGCAGACGGCGGCACGCCCCGCCCCGTGCGCCTAAGTTCTCGCGCGAGTTAAACTTCCGTCCTTTTGGCTCTCTGAGCGGCACCATGGCGGTGGGCAAAAACAAGCGCCTTACGAAAGGTGGCAAAAAGGGAGCCAAGAAGAAAGTGTAAGTGGCGGCTGTCGCGGCACCC